CCACATAGGGATGGCCGGTTAGCTCACTGTGGAGAGCATGGCGCTGATAACACCAAGGCCATGGGTTTGGATCCCATATAGGGATGGCCGGTTAGCTCACTGTGGAGAGCATGGTGCTGACGACACCAAGTCAAGGGTTAAGATCCCCTTACCGGTCACCTCTAAAAAAAACAAACAAAAAAAATCAGGCTTAAGAGAATAGTCCACATATCTTTGAAAAACGATATACTTACAAATGTGTCTATATGCATACATACATTATTTCAAAAAAATATATGCATAAGGATAGAAGTTTATATAATAAAATATTAAAAATGATGTTATCTCCAGATGGTGTTAAAGATGTTTTTCTTCTGCATGTTTTTCTGTATTCTATACATTTCTTCAGTGATTAGATATTTCTTTTGAAATCCAAAATATATAAAACAAAAAACTCAACCTATAATCCAAGAAATGAAGGGTATTACTTCCTACATTTTTCTCTTGCTTCTCAAAACTCTCCTTCCTGGAGAGTGGTAGTCTTTTTAACTGCAGGACTAGCTGCTTTAAACACAAATGGTTCAGATTATAAAGTAAAGGTAAGTATGTATTTAAAATGCAATCAGCAAAAAGGAAATAATTAATCATGGAACAGAAAAGAGATGTATAGCTTCTGAAACATTTAAGGACCTGAATAAGTTCCTAGGTCTGCTGTGGGAAATTCACCTGCACAGACATAACAGATTAGAGAAATGAATATTTACCATTATGACTGGAAGGTTCTTAAGGTTAATTAAGATCTGTTTTAAAATAATAACTTTTAAAATATAAAATATATTGGTATCCAGCAACATAGAAACCACAAGATAAACATTTCCTTAAAGAAAAGATGGTTGTGAAAAGCCTGATAAACATTTAAAATTTGCAACTGAAACAGGGAAGAAAAGCTTACTAATTTGCTTATTTTTTTCCCCACACAAACTCAATCTGTGTAAGCAGTCTATGGATCATTTAAAACGTAACTAAAGTCAGTAAAGAGGATGGTTTGAGATGTGGAATTCATAATCTAGCTGACATAGAAGCTACGTATCTACCTGGGAATTGATCATTTGGCCATTTTGCCCCTTAGGCTTTTCAGATAGATAAAGACAAGATTTCAAGTAGCTTGGCTTTTTACAGTAATTAGGCAAACACTTACTTTTACCATCACAGGCTACAATTTTCACTTTATCCACTTTAATAAGTTCTGTCACCTCTCTGAATTCAACATCATTCAATACAAAAGTCCACACATTATCGCAGAATCTGTACGTATTTAGAGAGCCCTTTAAAACAAAACATGTAGACATACCATGAAGTCATTTTTTTCCCTCACATTTTTCTCCAAAGCAATTTAAGAGAACTTAAGCTACCAAGTACATAATTGTTAAAACAGTATGTTTAGTGCTTAGCTTGCTTAAGATTTTCCTTAATTTTAATCCTATCTACTTAAAAAAACCCCACAAAAAACCCTAGATAAATTTGCTAAAGGAACAGTTCAAAATATTTTAGTAAGCAGACTATTTTCAGCACTGTAAAAGAGTCTGCAAATTACTTACCTGAAATATAAAGAAAAGCTGAATGAAAACTTGAATTTGTATTTCTACTGCCCTCATGTGGTTAAATTATAAAAGTTTATTTGAATTTTTATGTAAATACTTTTTTCCCCAGGAATATATACTTGAACATTAAAAGGAAATTATTTCAAGAGTGTGGTGAAAGTCAAGGATAGACACCGAGAGAATACAATCAAAACCTGAGATATACACACATATGAGTATATTCACATATGAAATTTTGTATGCGACATTTAAATGACTACAATCTTCAATTCAGAAAAAAAGTATCAAGCATAAAAATGTGCCCTGAAGTATTACTGTAATAGTAAAAACTGTATTAAATCTAAATGTTGTATTAAGTGAGAATGAATAAGGAGACTGATGGCCATGGATGAACTGGTTAATGAATTTAATAAATATGAGTAATTACTGTGTGCTAGACTATGCTGGGCTTTGAGGATACAATGGTAAACACTGGTCCCTGCTGTCAGTGAGCTTAGCTTAGCAGCAAGATTATTAAAACAAGTAAACATAGTTTAACAGTGCTATGAAAGAGTAAGTTACTAGGTTTAATGGGAGTACAGCAAGGGCACTAAAGGGTATGGAGGACGTAAGGCAGAGAAAGCTTTTCTCACACAGTGAAGTTTAAGATGAGTACTGAAGAATGGTTGGTTAGTCAAGGAAGAGGTGGGATGATGGAAAGGAAGACAAACACTTGAAATGGGGTAGCAGATTCCAGAAAACAGAATGTGTCAGCAGGTCCTAGAGTGAAGGACATCACAGAGAAACTTGGAAGGCCTTTGTCCCATCCTAATGGTACTGGGAGGTCATTGAAGGATTTTGAAGCAGAGGAGTCACATAATCAGATTCGCATTCTTGGTAATGACAAGACAAATGGATTAGAGGGGAGTATGACTGGAGGCAGGAAGAACAGCTAAGAAGCTGATGCCTCTTAGGTGTCTTTACCATAGCAGTAGCAAGGGGATCAAGAGAAATGGAGAGACTAATTGAGTTTGAGATATATCTAAGTCATGATGTCCAACAAACACTTGGAGGGTAGGAGAAAACC